GTGACTGGTTGGAGGTTCCGATCGACATAAGGTTTAGGGTTTAGGGTTTCGGGAGTTTCGGGCTGAGGGCTTAGGGTTTCGGAAGTTTCGGGCTTAGGGTTTAGGGCTTCGGGTTTAGGGTTCAGGGTTTTCAGGTTTTTCGGGTTTGGGGTTCAGGGGTTAAGGTTTGGGGCGTTGGTGTTTTCCGGGCTTGGAGTGCAGTGGCGGCTGTTCAGGCAGGGATACCCGAGCCAAGGTCCAGGGAAGATGGGCCAACGGAGATCCTCAGCTCTGTAGACTCAAAGCCCAAAGCGCATAGATACAGATTAAACCTGAAGCCGTGTATCGTGAAATCCTAAACCCTAAACCCTAAACCGTAAGGCTCGGAAGTAGTGCCTCCTGTGGGATTTCAAAGTTTGGGCGTGACTGTGTGTTTCGGGATGTCATTGGGACGCAGCACCACCCTTATCACGATGCCAAGAAAAAAGGTGGTTTGGGGTTTGGGGTTTGGGGTTTACGGTTTAGGGTTCAGGGTTTAGAGTTTAGGGGAGTCGAGTGCATTGCGCCGGGAGATTTGCTAAAGCCTGATTCCGGATGCTCATGTGTACCACCGCGGTAAGTTGTGAACTCGGTGCTTTCCCAAAGTCGCTCAGGCCCGCATTGTTGCCTAAACCCTAAACCCCTAAACCCTACATCCAAAATCTCTGAACAACCCTTAACCCAAAACTTCTAAACCCTAAACTCCCTTTGCAAGAGACCTCTGCTGACCCCCTTGGACCCTCGAAGATCATGGTGATGTGCCTGCCTTTCTGATATAGGGGCCTGAATGATTAACAATACTATTCCTCAGGGTTCCTTTCAGGGTTTCTATAGGGGTTTTCGAAGGGTTCCAATAAAGGCCAGTAGATGATCACCAATATCACCAGATTCCAAACAGACCTTCCAATATTCTTTAATAGGGACTATACCTAGGTATACTCCTTGATTCAGGGATATTGGAAGGTCTGGGCTATTCTGTAGGGCTCCTTTAAAGGCTACTTTCACGGCTCTACAGGGGATTTATGGTGTGGGGTTCTGAAGAACAAGCAATGCTATGCCAAGGAATGTCAGCTCACGAGCAGGTTGCTGGTGTGCCAGGCCCGGCACATAGCCCACCACCTCGGAGCCTTATAAAGACCACGCGATGCAGGGGAAAATGGCAGGTCAGGCCAACATCGCACAGCTTAGCCACGCTGGCGAGGAAAAGCACATTGGCTGTCTTGACATCACGGTGGAACACCTTGAGGTTGCCCTGCCTGCTGCTCATGCCGGGCGTCGTTGGCGTCCAGCATCTGCCAGTTTCAAGCGCTGCTCGGCTTGACGCGGGTAAACAAATGTCCCCAGCTTGATGGCAATCGAAGTGCCATCGCGGAGGCGGGCACGGTAAACGCGCCCAAAGCAGCCGGCCCCTGCTGGTCGACACTTTGTTGCAGGGACTCCAGTAAACCCTAAACCCTAAACCCTAATCGCTAAATTTGCAGCAGACCTTCCGCGAGGCCGTCGGTTGCCTGGAACCCTAAACCCTAAATCCAAGCCTTAACGTAAAGGCACCCCAAAAGAGTCAACTCGGCTCTAGAGCGGGTTCAAGGTTCGGCGTTTTAGGTTTAGGGCCCAGAACACTACACACCCCCGACTTCAACCCATGGCCCCTCACAATCGCAAAACTCCCGACACCCCCAGGGCCGAACCTGTTCCTCAAGACTCAACTCGAACGAAGTGATCCTTTGGGACAGAGGATTATAAACAGCGGGTTTGGATATGCTTCTCTCTTCAGGCTGCCTTAAACCCTAAACCCTAGGCCCTTAACCCCAACCTCTGAACCCTGAACCCCACCTATAGTCTCCATTGTAGTTCCCTTCGGGGATTCCCTTATAGGATCCTAGATACAAAAACTGTTTAACCAAAAAAAAGAACTACAATGGAGACTATAGGTAGACTTCCAACCCTGACCTCTGAACCCTGAACCCTAGACTTCTAATCTTCAGACTCTATACCCCGAACCCTAGACTTCCAACCCTAAACCCTGAACCCTGAACCCTAGACTTCTAACCCTAAACTCTAAACTCTGAACCCCAAACCCTGAACCCTAGACTTTAACTCAAAACCCTGAACTCTGAACCCTGAACCCCGACCCCTGATCTGTGAACCCTGGACCCTAAATCCTAAGCTTCTAACCCTAAACCCTAAGCTTCTAACCCTAAACCCTAAGCCCCCTGCACAGCTCAGGGCTTCGGAAAACTTTGGCCCCGGTCCTGGAACCCTTTGCTAGCGTAGCCTCGCCGCGTTTTGTCTGATCCAGGCTCTGTCGGTACTCTTTTGTTGCCTACTTGGAGGTTCATGGGTAGTTATAAGTGGAGTTATAAGTCCCCTAATATAGGTTATAACCATAGTTACCCTAATTATAACCCTACTTATAATTACCCATGAACCTCCAAGTAAGGGTTTGGGATTTAAAGTTTAGGGGTTCAGGGGTTCAGGGTTTGGGGTTTAGGGTTCAGGGGTTTAGGATTCAGGGGGTGAGGGTTCCGGGCCCTGTCAGGATTCACTATTCTTTAAAAGGGTTTAGGGGTTTAAGGGTTTGGGGTTTTGGGGTTCGGTTTAGGGGTTTAGGGCTTAGGGTCGTCTAAGGCATCGGTGGGGAGGTTCATGAGGGTCCTTCAAAGCTTTCTGGGGCTTTATATCTGTACTGACATTCCTTAGAGGGTCCATCAATACCGCTACTATGGAAAAAATCCCCAAAACCATATTCATACTGTTGATGATATAACCCTGCATGACCCAGAAAAAGGAATATGCCATGATTCCCATAGTCTAGGGTCCGTAAGGCACTGCAGGATTTAGATCATCAGCCGTGGAGATGGTCTTTCGGGGCCTAATTGCATCATGGTTAGTCTATCGGCAACCTCTGGGGAAAGATGACTGCCTTTCCAAGATCAAGATAGGGTTTAGGGTTTAGGGGTTTAGGGGTTTAGGGTTTAGGGCTTAGGGGTTTAGGGTTTAGGGTTTAGGGGCCCTGTTGACCAAATCCCATTATCTTACAACCTGTATGGGAGTTTCCGAAGAGTAGGGTGCCCTATTTTGGGGGATCCTTATAAGAAGGATCCTGCTATTTGGGGTCCCCTATTTTCGGAAACCTCTACACTTAACCGTTAGACCCAAACTACAAAGCCCTGCAAAGGATCTTTTGAAATCCCAATACTGGAACCCTGAAATCCTAACCTCCCAAGCCCTAGACATTCCTAAACCCTTCCCCTAAAGGTCCAAGTACCCATTATTTAAGGACTTTGGGGCCTTTTTTGGGTACCTAAAACCATAAACAAGGACTACATGGACCCTTAGTTCCATAGCAGCCCGCAGTAACTCTAAAAAGCTCGGGCTCTAGGGTGCGAGGTCTCTGTGGCCATATACGCCTTAAGTCCGAAGCAGTCTGAGCCATACCGAGACCAAAAAAGATGTAGCTTCTTATGCCTACAGGCCTACAAGTCCATGTGCCCAAATAGTATATACTCTCGCCCGGAAGTAGTCCCTGCATACTTTGGGGCCAAAGTATGGACATGGACCCTTTAGGTTATTATAGGATCCTAAGCATAACACAAGCTACCCGAAAAGGTACAACAGTCTAGCGGTTAGGTATGGTGCGGATGTTCTAAAGCAAGTCCGCGTGTGTCTGCGTTTAAACCCCCCACGGGAGTGGAAGGTATGTTGGGAAGGGAACCCTAAACCTTAAACCCTTAACCGGGATCCCGGCGAACTGGTGATCCGTGCCCGGTCACATCCTCGGGCTCTCTGTAGCGAGGTTTCGGGGCTCAGAACGTCGGCTTCAGGGTTTAGGGCTAGGGTTTGGGGTTTAGGGTTTAGGGTTTAGGGTTTAGGGTTTAGGGCTGGGGTCTAAGTTTCGTGTTTAGGAGTTTAAAACTCTGGGCAGGGGGTTTGGAGGTGAAGATTTGAAAGTTTAGGGATAGTCGTGCTGCTGACAACAGTATGCACAACAGCAAAACAGCACTCACAAAAGCAAAATGATACTGAGAATGCTGCTGAGACTGGCGCTAAAAGTGAGGATGCGAGTACTGATTATCAAGAAGTGACAAACTAATCATCACAATCGTCAGACTGAAGCACCCGCAATCAGAATCGCAGCTACCATGGTGACGCCTCTGATGGGCTTGGAGCCGCTTACAACCCTCAACGCTAACCCCTAAACTCATTTCCACTACATGCTGAAGCCCAAACACCTCAACCATAAAGGCTAAATCCCAAATCTCGAAATTGCAACCTTAGCCCAAAGTAGGTGGAAGCCACCAAGTTGGAACTTCATTATAGTCATGCCAGGAAAGCAAACGCCAGCACTGATCGTCCTTATCCCATGTTCCGACTGCCTGGACCCTAAATTTTGAACACTCATTGTAGTATAAACCGAGGGGCGCATACCACGAAGCTGTCCACTTCCGCAAGCAGGTCGGGTTCCGAAGTGTCTGTCTGCATTGCCATCGTCCCACCTTGTTCGGATTGGCGTTTAGTGTTTACGGCGTGAGGGTGCTGGTTCTTCAGGGGTTTCAGGGTTCCTGCATCGGCAGCAAGCGCTGCCGATCGGCAACGCTCATCATGAACATCCCACCCTAAACCCAAAGACCTAAGCCCTAAACCCCAAAATCTATGAGCCTTACGCTCTATATTAGGCCCAAGGCCACCTTAACCCCAGATAACCTGCCTCTTTGAGGACATGCATAAGGAAATCATAATAGGGAGCCCTCAGCCCTAAACCCTAATCCTTAAACCTGAAGGGCTTGTATAAGGCAATGACAGGGAAACCGACATGGGTTCAGGTAGGGCTTAGGGGCAAGGAGCTGAGGTTATGTCCAAGGCCCAGTTTTTGACTCTTCAGGGTCTAGGCTTTAGGGTTTAGGGCTTCTGGAGCTTATCGGGCTTAGGATTTAGGATTTACAGTTTAGGGTTTAGCGTTTAGGGCCTAGTTTAGGGTTTAG